AAAAGGTAACCTTACTTCATAAATTTTCTATAAATGGGATTTTTTAATGTGTTCTGGAGGCATTTTTAGGCTCAAAAATAGTTTTCCTATTTTATAAAAAACTTGTACAAGAAGTTTCCATTCACTTTTCAGTGAGAAGATGGCTACCAAAAAGTGTGTAGGATAGTAGTGCTGTGCTTGCTGCGCAGCTTGTGCGCCTGAACCACACTCAGCTGCCTGTTCTCCCGAAGTAACGAAAAATAAAATAGTGCCTGTACTATTTTTTTTCTCATTTAGCAATAAATTTAGGAGGACATCCTGGAGTAGAAAACGACCACAGCAGTGTTTTTGACTCACTTTTTCTGTGTAATGTTGTAATATTACATATAGGATTACTGTGCTTACTAACCATTGGAAAAAGTAACATTTCATAGCAGGTGATATTAATTTGGTGTTTGGGGCCATAGTTTCCCATTCTGATAGAAAAGATGAACATTTGAAGGGACAGTGGCTGTTGGGCACATGGTGATGTGGCTCAGGGCTGGGTCCGTCCATTTGCACAGCCCGTGTGAGTACCAGTTGCCGCTTCCTGACGTTTCCTCAGATGGCCTGTGTGACTTGGAGTTTATCACTCATTTGATCTTCAAGCCTTGCAAGCCACATAACTTATCCATGAAATGAAGCCATTGTTTGAGAAAACCATTTGTAAATAGATGTAAGTTTTCTTTAGGTCACTGCTGTGAAAAGAATATTATGTAACTTGGGTATGGGCTATTGGAACTCCCCCTTTCTTCTTTCTCATTCTGACTTCTTTAAAATGAATTTCAGGGCAAAGATTTCTGCAGTGCATTTTGGTTGGTCTTCCCTGCAGGGTCCCTACCACCAACAGTTAACCTTAGAGCTGAAGCTACTAGTCCTTACATTTTACTTATATAAGATCAAATACCATACAAGACATTTGATGGCTGTCTTTCAGAGATGACAGCATTTGCGAGATTGTAACTTCTGCATTTTGTTTATTTCTGGTTATTTTCCTTTTGCTTTAGGGTTAGGTTAGGCTACTCACTATAGAATGGTGTCTAAGTTTGTGAAGAACTTAACAAAATTGTTATAGTGCACATGGATTTGGATGCTTAGCATGTTCTCAAACAAGTCCTTTCTTTTTATTGCACAATACTAATTGTCTAGAACCTTACTATGCTAACCTTTGTGCTAATGTGAAATGTTCTTGTGAGAATTTCAGCATTATGAAATAGTACACTTTTAGTGCTATACAGTTTGTCATTTCTTTGTATGCAGACATATGTGAAATCATTAATTAAAGCTCAGCATATAATGACATAAAATGGGAGATTATTTCAGAGGTAATGCGGTGGAATGGGGACTTGGTGTTTGACCACACCACATAAAGACAAGATGGATGCTTATTTGTTATTGCTATTGATTTCCTAATCAGAAAACAGTGAGGAAAGATGCTGGTTAGGCAGAAGTAGAGTGTGGATCATAGAGTATTGTAAATGCATTAACTGTATATACTAAAAGTCTGTTGCTGAATGTCAGTGTTCTACTGGCTCTGGTCAGAGAGATACTACCACAGGCCAGAAATATTGGAGAAATTATGGAAGAATGGCCTAGGCTAGATAGGGTTTGAGGAGGCACAGAAGTATAGGGGATGGTGTGACCAGAAGGTGGGTCTCAGAAAAGGCTCAAGATTGCAGAATGTGTTTGAGGGGCCAGTTTGGTTGTAATGTGTGGGATACCTGTTAGAAAGTGGGGAAAGATAAGAAGCAGGGCATGTAAGGCAGTGAGTACCATCCTGAAGATGCTAGTGATTGCGTAGTGAACACGTAGCACAGTAAGTACTATCTTGGGAAAATGTTAGTGATTGTGAAGTAGTGAAGTGATTGATTATTCATTTGACATCCTAGTGAGAACTGATTGTTTTCTAGGTACCAAACTAGGCAGAATAATATAGCAGTAAAATATAGATCCTAGGGGCCCTAAACTGGTATATTTACATCCCAGTTTACTGCTTGATGGTGTAATGACTTTGTATAAACTTCCCCTCCCCTTCTGTCCCCTCTCTTCCTCTCCCCCTTCCCTCCCCTCCTCTTCTTGGAGACAAGGTCTTCCTGTAGCCCCACCTGGCCTGGAACTCGCTATGTAGACCAGGCTGGCCTCAATCTCACAGAGATCCACCTGCCTCTGCCTCCCAAGTGCTGGGATTAAGTGTGTGTGCTACCACATTTGGCTATATAAATTTTTTAATGCTTGCTGGTAGGTCTAGATCTGTCTGTGATGATTCAGATTACCAAATTTCAAATTACTAAATTTAGTTTTATCAAATTTTCTAATGTCTAAAATCTAAGAAGCTATTCTAAGACTTTTTAGCTTTGATTACTGATCATAGGATATGTAGAAAATCTTTATCATCACTAACAAACTTTTGTATTTCATGAAGCTTTTTTTTTCTCCACTTAGCTGAGGGATTGGCCATAGTTTAGCGTAGAGCATGAAGTTCCGTGTTCAACATGTGTCACAAAAAGGAAGTTTTTTGGTTGAGATTGTTTAAAAAAAATGCAGGATAGTTTTAGCTAACTCAGTTTCTTTTGGATACTGTTTAATTTTAAGTTAAATTTAAAAGAATGTAAACATTTTAAGTTCAAATTTAACTTAAAATCTAAAAGCACCCCAGAGAACTCACAGTATGAACAACTTTGTATCCATGTGACTGGAGGATGGCATGGGGGCATTGTGAGTTTTGTGTTTGACAGCTTTACACAGACAACATGGAGTGAGGAGTGATTTCTGCACACAAGTTGGAGACTGTTTATGGTTCCTGTTAATTTTCTAATCAGAAGAGAATTAGGAAAGCATGCAGGTAGGCAGAAGTAGAGTTTCTACACCTTATTCTAGGTTGGGAGTGGGCTATGTCCTTGATGGTCTGTAAGAGTAGATTGTGTTGCTATGGGTCTGACTCAGGACCTTAAGCATCAAACACTACCAATTGAACTCTATCCCTAGCCTGAGAATAGACTTTAGTGAACAGATATAATCATAATCTCATAGAAGCTGGTGTTAGTGTGGCAGGAGTGTGAGCATAAGTAGGTATTTGGAATGATTCTACTTTTTTCAGGGACATTTGTGTGTGTTCTGCTCTTGATTTGATGGCATTTACTATGTGAGCACCCCATAGCTACCCTCTAGTATACCCTTCTTGATGATTACCATAAACTGTCTTCTGATCTCTGATACTACTGACAGTGTAGCGACTCATTCAAACTCTGTTGTAAGATGGGGAATGTGGGAATGGGGCTTGGCCTGAGGAGGAGTAGGAAAGGCTTGACTGCTGCCAGGCTTCCTGTAGGATTTTTGTCTCTTTAGTTGTTGACTTTCCTTATATAACCATTGCTTTGCCATCACTGTGTGAACCTGCGCCATGGTGTATGGATTCTGAGGTGTGCTTTTCAGAGGTTATGAATTCAGCTGTAAATTCAGTTGACAGAAACTAGACTCATTTTTCTTCAGATACTTTGGGTACAGTAGCTCTAGAGCCAAAAAGCTTGGGCTTGAAGTTTGGTTTTCTCTTATTACTTGTGCCACTCTGGGCAGGAAATACAGTTTTTCTTAGTTGTTTTCCCATTAGGAAAGGGAGAATATTCATTCTGTTATAAGTTGTTGGAGTGAGATTTAAAAGGAGATGCTAGGGAATCATTTGCTAAAATTCCAAAGGGCTATTTATGTCAGATGTGGTTGATAAACGGACTGGAGGCAGGTAGTGTGTCACTGTCATTTGAGGTTCAGGTCAAGTATCTATTTTCCAAGGTGGTTGAGACTAGACTGCTCTAGATTTTGGAGGGCTTTTTTTTTTTTTCAATCTTGTAATGTTTGCATAGACTTTATCAGTGGAGCATCTTAAACCCCGAATTCCAAATTCCCCATTGTAACACCTCTTGAGTCCTTCACCTGTACCTACAAAGCTAAGGCACAGCTCCCGAAGTTGGAAGCTGTGTGAGAACAGGACCTTGTCTGGATTGTACCCCATGTTTCTGTAGAATCAATCATGCTTATTTCAATCTATGTCTAAGTTTAAAAACTTTTGAGAGGTCTTTCTTTTTCTATTATTTTTTCCTTAGGAGTTTTATTATCCCTTCTCTGTCCTTGGAAACATGGTATAGGTACAGTACCCTGTCCTGTGCTGGTTATAGAAGCCAGCTCTTGGGGTCTGGTCTCTGGAAGTAAAGAAGTAACAGGTCAACAGTGGAGTTCTTTTACCCGGGGTAGCTATGAATGTAGCCTGACACAAAATTATAAACTTACTTAAAACATTATGAGATTGTTTTGTGACCTTTTTTGGGGGGGGGGGGATGACTCAATTATGCTGTTCTCCAGAGTGAACTTTGTAGAAGAAAATGTTTTGTCACAGCGTCAAAGGTTACATGCACCTTATTCTACATAAAGGGGCATACATAAGGTCTTACGTTTAGACATTCTGACACAGCCAGGCAATGTACACAAAGCCTTCTCATGGAAGAAATGCAGGCAACAAGCTTTCAAAATGGTACTCTGTTGATGTTTCTATGAATATAAGTCAGTGGTTGTATGGTTGACAGGTGATGAATAAAACTTTATATTTAATTCTTTTCAGTAGGTTAAAAATATCCTTCAGATTAGTTTTCCTAAAAGAGCTATTTGACTTTATTACACATGAACTACTTATATTGGGCAAGGTGTCCAACTTTGTTTGGATATTTTTGCCATTTGCAAAGTAGATATATTACTTACCTTGCAGAACCATTTTGAGGACAGGAAATGATACATGCAGCATACCTAGTACAGTGCTGGATGTATAATGGGGTTCAACTAATGAGGGTATTGCTTTTGATCTGGGCTCATTGTATAACTCTTTGAGTATCATTTGAGAGTAAGTTCCACTGGTGTGGTATGAGCATTCCAAATGCCAGTCATATGGGCTTCAGTATTTCTTTTAAAACTAAATTTAGGTTATATTTTTCTTTCAGAGATTTCCGAGAATGAAGACCCATCTTGATTGTTGAATTATATGCAATAATTCCTATATCAACTGTCAGCAACTTGATTAGAAAAAGGTAATTTCAAATTTAAAAATGGCTGCTTATCTTTTAATTTTACTTGGGTTATGTTTGTTTCCTTAACATCGATAATTGATAGTCCTTTTGAACTAAATTGGAGCCATTCAGACTATAAGGCATACCTGTCATAACACAGTCACTCTTTAGGTGAGTGTATGTGTATACATGCATGTGAGTATGTGTATTTGTGGGCGTGAAGGTGGGGGTATGGCCAGAGGACATCCTCTGGTGTTATTTCTCTGTACCACCAACTTTCTTTTGAGACAAGGTCTCTCATTGTATTGGAAGTCTCTAAACCGGCCAGGTCAAATGGCTAGTGAGTCCCAGGGATCCCATTTTAGTCTCTGCAGTATTGGGATTACAAGCATGTGCCACCATGTGTGGCTTTTAAAATATGGGTTCTGGGGATCAAACTCAAGTCCTTGTGCTTATAAGGTAAACACTGAGCTATCTGCAGTCCACCTATTCAGTCTTTATTGGAAGTTTTTTTTTGTCTTTTGTTCAAAAAGTTTGATAATATAGTTGATAGTGTGAACACTACCACTGTGCTATGTAATATGGGTACAGTGGGTAAAGATTGCACTCAAACAATTAGTGTGCTATATGTTATGGATAAAGTTAGTAAGTTAGTACCTTGCAAATATTTAAAAGTTTTTCCCAAATGATTATCAGTGTACAGTTTGAATCACTTAGTGACAAGGATATTTTCTGAGAAATCTATCAGTGGATCATTTTGTGGCATGAGCGTCATAGAATGTATTTACACACACCTAGAAGACATAACTACTACAGAGCTAGTTATATGGTATATACATAGATGGTATAAGCTTTTGTGCCTAAGGCCACGATGAATAAAACAACATGAGATTTAACTCAAGCACGAGACAGTGGTGCAGATGAGACCCCGTATGAAGTTGCCGATGGTGGAGCATGGTCCTGCTTTGCAGTGAGCTTCTTTAACAGAAGTAAAATAGAGAAATTCTAGTATAACAAATACATCAACTTGTAACACAACCCTTTGTTGTCATCAGGTATGAACTGTTGCAGTATGTTGAGCTGTTTCTATGTTATGTCATATGCCTGGAAGTACAGACGTGTTCATGCCGCATCAGCACAAGCTCATTGCCTGCATTGTGCTGTTGCTGCACCCTGTGAGGCCACTAAGCAATAGGAATTTTTCAGTTCCATTATCATCTTAACTCAGTTCCATTATCTTATGAGACCAACATGGTATATGTGGGCTGTTGTTGACTAAAGTGTCATTTTGTGCACATTAAAGTTTTCTGTTTAGCAACGGAAAGCTCAAGTATTTGGAGTAAGCTCAGTGAGGAGTTTAGTACTCACTGGGAAGAAGATGGGCTAGCTAGAAATTGTGTGCAGTGAATTTTTATTTCACGTAGGCAACTTTTGCATCTATTTAAAAATTGAGCTTACCCAAGTAGATTTCTTAGATTTTGTTTTGGTTGCTTGGTTTGGCTTTTGAGATAGGGTCTCACTTCATAGTCCATACTGCCCTTGAATTCGAATGATCCTCCTGCCTTAGCTTCCTAGGGCTGGGATTTCAGGTGTGAGCCTCCATGCCTGGCTTTAGATCTCTATTTCTATACTTAGTGTAGTAGGATAAATACAGCTTGTTGTAGACTGAAGGATTTGACTCCTGGTGTAGAAAGAGTAGGGTGTTCCATTTTCTGGAGACAAACTTGGTACGAGATCTTTCAGTAAGCCTGAAGATAAAAATGAGAAAAAAAAATCAGGCTTAAATTCTTTTATTCTGACTGGATGGGGTTGTAGGCACCCATAATCCCAGTACTTGGGAGGCTGAGGCAGGTGCATAACTAGATTTTAGAAGTGCTCATATAGAGAAAATGTGGCTATGAAGTTTCTTCCTTTAGCCTTACGTGTCCTGAAGATAGCATTAACTTGCAGTCTTCATAAATAGATGTAGAAATATAGGCCTAGGGTTTAGGGCCCACTTAGAACCTAGTGTTGTTACCATTTAGAAGAAAAAAATATTTTAACCTTGTGACTTCTGGGAATGACTAGAATTGTGGCAAGATAACTTCTTTCACTAGTAGGAGAGGAAAATAAAGAGGTGACTTGAACGAGGATCAGGAACCTAGGAGCTCTGCTTGGCCTTTCTTTTAATAACCAGCTGTGGGGCCTTATTGCGACTTAATCTTTGAGTTTTATTTTCCCTGTAAAATGAGAGAGAATGAAATATCAAGGGTCTTTTCCACCTAGAAGAGATCTCTATAATAAACAGTACTAATGAGGGCATGCAGGCCTATTTGGTTAGGACCAGTCCATTTGTGTCACATTTAGCAGTGTAAATAGTAGATCACATCACGTGTATCTGTGTATGTCTGCCTCTCCATATCTGTTCCTATAGCCATTTAGAATAATTCAAGTGATACAACATGAGATCCAGAGACAGGAGATGGAATTGAGTCTTGGATTTGACTGTGTGGCCTTAGACAACTAACTGATTCTCTGTACTAGGGAAAATAATACCTACAATGTGACAGATTGCAATTCTTTTGAGTAATAGAATCTCAATCTTCCTCAAATTTTATCTGGCCCGTGACTACCCAGCTACAACTCTGCCTCCCAGGTAGAAGCAGGTAGTTTGGGCCCTCTAAGTTAGGGTCACGGCTACAAGAGGAGGAGATGGGGGCAGCTTTTTGGGTCATCTTTAAGAAAAAGCTGGTTGTCCTAGATATCTTCCTTTTCTTTTTCTCTTTGGCTGAGAAATGACCAGAGCTGAAGCAGCAGCCTTAGATCCAGTGATGGGCACTACTCTGTGAAGATGGCAGAACCAACTAGTTTATATAGTCTGTTCTCTGGAACAGAGCAGTGTGTTCATCCCAGATTACCCATTTACCTTCCAACGGTTATGTGAGACAGAAATAAATGTGTATCGTATTTCTTTACTGTAGCTGATTAGTTGGCTTAGTGGCCTAAAATCACAAACCTTAAAGAGTTGTGAAGACTAGAGATAATGAAGTGCAGCCTTCAGTGTGTGACGCCACAGGCACTGTATCCGTGCTGGCTACCCTTTGTGAATGCTCCTTTCTACTTGATGTGAGTGGGGCACAGTGCTAGTGAAATCATGAAGATGGTTTCTGATATGAGTTGATTTAGGAAAAATATAAATAAAGATTTCTTAAAATTTTGAAAATGATTTAAAATAGCTAGCAATAACCAGTCAGAGAACAGAATTTTTATAGTGTCATTCATAATAGTAACCAAAAATATAACTAACCTAGAATAAAATAATGAGATTGACAAGAAAATACCTTGAGAAACAATTGATATTGAAGACAGAGGATGACATGACATGTAGCTTGTGCTACTTAATGCTATCTTTCTCACAAACCCTGGTTTACAGAAGTCGAAGTAACAAAGTCACGTGTCCAGTGCCAGCAGTGGTATCCTGGCCCACCCTTTGTTGTCTGTGTGTCGTCCTTAGAGGAAAATGGTGTGAGACCCTCTTAGCAGATTCTTTTGGTATTTACCTCAGTATTTCACATTAACTGTGATCTGCTGTTTAGTAATTTTCCCATTTTAGTATCTTTTTCTCCGTTTCTTTTTTTCTTTGATCTTTTTGAAATAAGTTCTCCGTGGAGCCCCAGCTGACCTGGAAGTCACTGTGTAGACCAGGGTGGCATTGTTCTCACAAAGATCCACCTGCCTCTGCCTCCTGAGTGCTGGGATTAAAGGCCTGTGCCACCACACCTGGCTCCATTTTAGTATCTTCTGACTTACTAGTAAGGAAAAGAGGGTTCAACTCATTTTTTTTGAAGAATTATTTTTTTAATTATTTAAAACAAATTTAATAACTACGTGGTTAGAAGAAGCATTTCACTACAGCTTTAACATATTCAGTAACACACTCCAGAGCAAGAGTACATCTCTTTCACAAGTGGGTGCAAGTTTCTAGGTTCAA